CACTGCTGTGCAGCACAGAATACCGCTACCCTTCCTGGTCAGTGGCTCACTGGACAAAGGGTCGTGTCTTCAAGCCAATCATAAATAACAAGTTTGCATAAGTAACAAGACAACCTTCAGTTACAGAAAAATCTAAGCATAATTGACCTAGAATTGAATGTGTAGGCAGTTATCATACTTACAAACACAGCCTACAAGCCTCTTGTTAGTGACAGATGGTACAATGTGAGGATCATCTTTGGTCCCAGCATATTCCTTAGGCTTGAACATATTGAAAGGATCCTGAAAGAAACAAGACAAGCTGAAGGAACCCTGCTCACTGCCTACGTGGCCTGGCCTGGCCTTGGGAAGCACAGGCTACAATCAGTGGCTGATAAGGGTCTGTACACATGTATGCACAGTTATGACCAAGAGGTTAGATTGGGTTTCAGTGTCTCAATTAATTTGAAAATTTGTCTCACCTTTCTGCAACTTAGCATTGATGAGGGAATTTCAAGGCTCATGCCACCATCACCTTCATTCAAGCAGAGTAATATACAAACAGAGTTTCAAGCCATCCTCACTCCCCCTGACAATTCAAAGTTACCAATCTTCTCATTAGGATCTACAGAGGTGTGACATACCTTTCCAGTCTTTACAGCCTGCATGATCATCTTTTCCATTCCAGTTGCTTGCTCTTCATCTGTCGGAATCCCTGTTGTTCAAAAGTGAAAACATGCTGATCAGAGACTGTCTGACACAAACAGATGGGTTTTCTGTTTGGCTTGCATAAATTTGAACATCCTGCACTTAATTCCCATTTATCCATAACGGAATCTTGATCTTGCTCCCCAGTATTGTAGCTTGAATCAACCTACCTGTTTAGAAAGAACAACATGGCACTTGGGCACCAAGGGATATTGGCTGCAAGTGTCCTGAGGTGTCCGGTGCTAAAGGAACCATGTTTTAACGGCATCGATTATGGCCCATTTATTCTAATCCCATTTTCCAGCATTAGGCCTGTTGCCTTATGTGTTGTGGCGGTTCAACTGCTCATCGAAATACTATTAGTACCTTTAGGGTAGCTCTATTACCCACTTTGGCGAGGGTTGGAAGAGAGGAGATTGTTCGCCAAATCCCCTTTAAACCTCCTGCCCTTTAACTTAAAACTATAGCTCCCCGGTGTTAGGCTCCCGTTGGTGAGGAGCCTTTCTCCTCAATTTTGTACACGCAAATCAGCTTCCACCTCAGCCTTCTCTGGTTCAAGAAAAACACCCCCAGCTGCTCTAGTCTCTTCATTGCTGCATCACACTAACCCGGCAACTTGCCGGTGCATTTCCTTTTGCCATTTAGCGCAATAACGTCCTTCCTGTGGTGTGGTGACTAAAACTAAAACTGCATCCCAACGACAGATATATATGGCTCCAGCATAACCACTTTCCTCTTATATTCAATTCTAGGACTAACAAAGATATTTATACCATGTGGCTTCGTAACCATCTATCTACCTCTCGTACTGCCTCCAACGAAAACAAACGCTAGAGATCAGAGGAGATGGATGCTGTCTGACCCACTGTGATCTTTAGCATTTGTTGTTTTCAGTACAGCAATTTGCTCCTACTGCCTTCAATATTTTAATACACCCATGGGTCAGGTAGGGCTAATTTTAAAGCCGAAAAACTGCGGATGCTGTAAATCCTGGAAAGTTACTGGAAAAGCTCAGCAGCAGAGGAACGGGAAAGTAAGTTCTTCCGGGTCGGGACCATTCCCTCTGATCCTCCATCATCCTTCCACCCCACCAACACCCCGACCCCCAACATCCTGCCTCCCGCCACCCACGCCTTTACCGGGGATTAACACTTTCCGTGTTTCCGCCCCATGACCTTCAGCTTAGTTCAGGGCCTGGCACGCAGCTCCACCCTGGATTCCCGCTCGTTCTTCACTAACCTCCAGATGCCATCGCCCGATAATGGACGTGGAAAGTCCGAAGAGTTGAGCCGGGACCCTGAGTTACCCCGAGGCCCCAGCCGCGCTGCACCGACCGCCCTGCGACCCGAATCACTGCTCTCGCCGCCATCTTGTGCCTGTAACCACGACGCCGCACCTCGCTCAACCCCGGAACTACGTCACTGACCTCACCCGAAGAAGGACTCTCACATTTCATCCGGGACTTACTGCCTACGTCACAAACCGTCCCCGCGAAGGGGAATGGGAAACCTCACAACCACGCCCCCAGGGGTAAGGGAAACACTTCACCCACAAATCACCCGCCCAACCCTCCCCATCCCACAAGAGGGCGCGCTAAGTCTCGCGCCAGCGACGCCGAAACTTTACTCAACTTCCCGCCACTTTGCTGCCACGGCATCACCCCATCACTGACGCCTA